CATACATACATACATACATACATACATACATACATACATACATACATACATACATACATACATACATACATACATACATACATATGTACATGCATGCATACATACGAGAGAGGGAGAGTGGGGAGAGAGAGGCTTGGGGGGATGGGGAGGATGGGAGCAGAGGGAGGGAGAGAGGACGACAGAACACACAAGGGAGACAAGGAAAAGGGAGAGGACAATGTCGGCGGACTGAGCCGGAGGCTCTAAAGTATACACAATTTAATAGTCATCAATTAACTTATTATCCTGAATTTAAATTATAAATATTCTTATCAATAAAAAAAATCTTAATTTATTATATGGATAAACAAAAAATAATTAGTGATATTTATTACGATAAAAGCGGTTATTGCAGTAAAGGAATAACGTTGAAAGATGCCAGACAGAAAGATAAAACTATTACTGCGGACGATGTTAATGAGTTCTTTAAAAAGAATGTTGAGGAAAAAAGGAAAATGCGAGGGCAGAATAGTTTTGTTGCTCCTCATGCCTTTTGGGAATTTCAACTGGAATTGTTTTTTATTTCTAAGAATGATTTGGAAAATCAAAAGTTTAGAATTGGATTAATATTAACTGATATATTTAGTAAATATGCTACTGTAATACCCATAGCAAGTAAGCAACCACCAGATGTATAATGGAAGGCATTAAGAAAATGGGCGGAAAACCCAAAATGATATACAGCGACGAAGAAGGCAGTTTGTTTAGTTCTACCATTACAGATTATCTTGATGAGGAAAAAATTGAATTACACACCACGAGAGGCCACCCTGCTTTTGGAGAAAGATTTATTAGAACCTTTAAGGATATGCTTTTTAAAAGAGTTGATGCGGATGAAAAGAAAGGTAAAAACAATATACAATGGATAGATTACAATTTAGAAATATTATTGACATACAATAATAAATTAGTAAGTTCCGTTACGAAAATGACACCATTAGAAGCAAGGAAGAAAAGAATGAGTTTGAAGTGAAACTGAATATATCAATGAATGCCAGAAAAACCCGTGTGTATCCTGATTTAGATGTAGGGGACAAAGTCAAGATAATGAGAAACAAAGCGATTAGCGAGAAAGAGAGAACCAGTCATTGGCTAAGGACAGTCCATACAATAACCAAAATAGAAACTAAATTGGGTCAGAAGTATTATCATGTCCGCCGACATTGTTCGGCGTGTCGGATACTTACTAGAGGATAGAGGATAACCCCCCCCCCCCGCCCGACGTCTATTACGTAGGTTTTTTTTGGGGGGGGTCCCCCACGTACCGCGCGGCAATTTGATGACGTTCCACTAAACGTAGTCTTCGGGGAGCCGGTGTCGCAAAACAGGGGTCCCAGGCTCGATTCCCCCTGCCGGCTTTTTGGCTGGCTTGGGCTTCCTGCATCCTTTTGCCGAAAATCTGGAAAAACTCAATGTTTTTGGTCGTCCTCTTTGCGAAAACGCAGGAAAACCGTGCTTTTTGCGGGAAATACTGGGGAGCAAGGGGAAGTGCAAGGATACATACATACATCACATTACATTACATTACATTACATTACATTACATTACATTACATGACATTACATGATTACATACATTACATACATTACATGCATACATACATACATACATACATACATACATACATACATACATACATACATACATACATACATACATACATACATACATACATACATACATTACATACATACATACATACATACATACATACATACATACATACATACATACATACATACATACATACATACATACATACATACATACATACATACATACATTACATTACATACATTACATACATACATACATACATACATACATACATACATACATACATACATACATACATACATACATACATACATACATACATACATACATACATAACATACATACATACATACATACATACATACATACATACATACATACATACATACATACATACATACATACATACATACATACATAATACATTACATACATACATACATACATACATACATACATACATACATACATACATACATACATACATACATACATACATACATACATACATACATACATACATACATACATACATACATACATACATACATACATACATACATACATACATACATACATACATACATACATACATACATACATTACATTACATACATTACATTACATTACATACATTACATACATTACATTACATTACATTACATACATACATACATACATACATACATACATACATACATACATACATACATACATACATACATACATACATTACATACATTAAATTACATTACATTGCATGCATTACATTACATTACATTACATTACATACATGCATACATTACATACATACATACATAATACATACTTACTTACTTACTGACTTACTGACATTACATACATACATGCATACATACATATGTACATGCATGCATACATACGAGAGAGGGAGATTGGGGAGAGAGAGGCTTGGGGGGATGGGGAGGATGGGGAGCAGAGGGAGGGAGAGAGGACGACAGAACACACAAGGGAGACAAGGGAGAGAGGAGGAAGGAGAAAAGGGAGAGGACAATGTCGGCGGACTGAGCCGGAGGCTCTAAAGTTAGTGATTTTCCCAAACCTCTATTGCGACATGAAATGTTGAAATTATAGTTTTAGACTAAAAAGGTTTAAAGAAATAATACCTATATATATATTAGTAAGATGATGAGCGATACAGAAAGTGAGAATGATATGTATAAAGTTGAAACATTTGATGATTTAGAAACAGCAAAACAACAAGTATTAAGTAATTATGTGTGTAAATGTTGCGATGTTTATTTTTGTAAAGATTGTGCTAAAACAAATGCCAGATTAAAAGTGTCATCAACCTCATTACCTATTGATATTATACAGAACATTTCAAATAATATCAGATGTGAGACATGTGAAGAAATGATATGTGTAAAAAACAACCGAACACGATATGGATATGATAATGACAACTTTGATTTATATAGCATCAAATTAGCATATTATATTGATTTAAACGGTATTGATTTACCAAGGTTGGAAGATTTACGAAGCATACCGAAATTACAGAATTTAAGCAACAGATATCACCAAGTTTTAACAATTTTATATTGGAACATCAAACATGAAAAACAATGGAAGCACTGGAAGAGAAACACCATGAATTATTTTTGGGATACAAACGGCGAAAGTATGGAAGATGCTTATGATGAGTTGAATGACTTGTTCAAAGAGTTGATTGAAATTTTACACTATATTGACATGAATGAGGACAAGAGGCATAATATACTTTACGGTCATAGTGTTGGTATGGAAATTGCTGACAAATTAAATGAAGTTTTCTTCAATGAAGACAGTGCAACCGAAAGTGAAGGTGATGAGGTGAGAGAAGAATTTGAATATATAAGCGATTTCCATTTGTAAAGATTTTGCTGGTGAAAAAATCCGATTTTGGTAATCTTTACTGTTTAATTATATTATCCTTCAATAATATAATTGAATACATACAATCCCGAGTGAGTTAATCTGTGAGTTGTTGGTGAGGGTTTTGTACTTGTTTGTTGTATGGTCGCTTGTTTGGTTTTTTGTGTGGTTTGTTGTTTGGTGGGTTTTTCGGGGTAAAAGGGTTTAAAGGTTTGTTGGTATAGTATTATAGAGGTTATGGAAAATAAATATTGTTCGTGTTGTCAGAGTTATAGGAATGTGGATTGTTTCACAGGAAATTATAAAAATTGTGAAAGATGCCGTGAGAAAGGAAAAAGGAAGAGCAAGGTTAATTTTCATTGTGATGTGTGTAATTGCGATATTAGGAAAATGGGTAAAGCGAGACACGAAATAACTTACAGGCACGAGGAAAATTTAAGAAAGAATGAGGTTAAGGAAAATTGAGTTGGTTTAAGTTAGTTATTTCTCAAAAATGAATAACTTAGAACATTTGGTGGAGTGGCTTGATATTTGGAAACACGTTTAAGCGTTTATATGGGTCTTGGCATGTGGATTGAAAAATGCTGGCGCGCGCGCGGTGAAATGAAGGAGAGTTTGCTTGTGGGTAAGGTCCCGCTTGCTTGTGTGGGTGTGTGTGGGTGTGTGGGTGTGTGGGTGTGTGGGTGTGTGGCGGTGTGTGGGTGTGTGTGGGTGTGTGTGGGTGTGTGTGGGTGTGTGTGGGTGTGTGTGGGTGTGTGTGTGTGTCTCTGTGTCTCTGTGTGTCTGTGTGTCTGTGTGTCTGTGTCTGTGTCTGTGTCTGTGTCTGTGTGCGCGGGCTCTCCCATCCCATTCAACCATCCATCCATCCATCCATCCAGCCAGCCAGCCAGCCATCCATCCATCCATCCATCCAGCGCCAGCCAGCCAGCCAGCCAGCCAGCCAGCCAGCCAGCCATCCATCCATCCATCCAGCCATCCATCCAGCGGCGGCGGACCTGCAAGGCCGGTGAGAAAATAACTAACCACTTGGGAGTACCTTTTGAGGGGATTGTGAGAAATGGCTTGTTTTTATTTGGAATCCATTTGAAGCCACCACAACGGGTTGCCCAAAACATGACACACCCATGTCCGACATGACAACCCCTTGCGGCAACGGAGTGGGCTGAAGAAACAACAGCTGCCATTGAAGGTGCTGAATGTCAATCTGAGCAAACCAACAGCCTACGGATGTAGCATTCATCTCAGAATTTGACAAATGTCAAACCAAATGGCCAACCTTGAAACCATGACTGGCATGTTGCCCAGGGAATGTCCTCATTCTTCTTTCGGCCAGAATTCTATCCAGAGCGCACCACTGCCACGAAAAACTGGTGTTTTTTGGCTCGGCGGCTGTTGCCCCCCCAAAAAACAAATGTTGGTTAGTTTTTGTGGGGAAACACACAAGTTCCAGCAAGTTGAAGGGTTAGATCAAAAACAGAAACTCCGGCTTCTGAATTCTGCGAAGATGCCACAGCCATCTTCCAGTGCTTGCCAGTGCCGCCAGCACTGTCTGTGCGGGTGATCTCAGAGGGTGCTGCCAGAGTCTCATCCTCCAAACTCTTGCTGGAATCCAGACGGATTTTAGGAATGAACTGGGGATCCTGAAGGACAAACTATAAGGGGAAAGTTCATAGGCCAGTGATTCGCTGAGTCCCTAAGAACCAGCAAGGTACTTGGCACTGCAACAATTGCAAGCTTTCAGGAAACCTGAATGGAACCGGCAGGCAGGGAGAAGGACCTGAATTCAATTGGTGTGTGTGTGTGTTTTCAATCGGGACTCTCTGGTGGACATATGTGGACACAGTTTACATGCGGATTTATGTCCACACAAACCATAATACTTGAGTTTTGCTCCAATTCAAATTCAAAGCGAAATACCATGCCATATCAACATCCAGCATGGGCCCTTGCACGGTGAAGCAACGCGAAGGGTTGCCAATAGTTTTCGAATCTCATGTAACTTCCCTCACCACTGCATGTATTTTTTAGTTTGCTTTCGGCTGATGCTTGCTGAATGGGGGGGCATCCATGAAAATGCTTGGCTTGTTTCGTTTTCCCAGGAACAGCCCCCGCATGTGTGGTGAAGTTGCTGCTTCACAACCCAAACTGTTGTCTACCTTGTCTGCCTGAAATCGCCGACTGCAGCTGCTGATGAATTGTAATTGGGTGGTTTGGCTATGTGTGAAAACTAGGCACTCTTTTGTGGACCCCAAATGGAGCATGAGGGTCGCGAAACATGCATTACCCTTCCCTGAGTAAGTCAAAACTACTCACTTCCTCAGTGGGTTAGCCCAAACAAGTACGTTCCGAGATGTACAAAGTTCTCACATGTAAAAAGTCCAGGCACTTGTGGAGTGAGACTAGTCGAACCCCTCTACATTAAAATTTGGGGAGGATGCCCGGGCCAGACAGGCACAAAAAGCTCTTCGCAGTAAACCTGAGCCGAGGGCACAATGCCGTGCGCCCTTGAAAGACACGGAAAACTTGCGCCCCTGGGTCCCCCCAATGGAATAATGATGGAATGAATGGAAGCTAGGTCTTGTAAACGACTTGCTCGCCTTTGTTCAGAAACAGAAAAAGCCGCGAATCTTAACGCCTCAAACTACATCGTTGGTTGCGCGATGTGCACGAATTCCACTCAAGCTCGGAACCTGCCACGGTTCACATTCGCGCGACCTGGGCATCTGTGGATATGCCATGTGGTCGGCTCCTTGGCCAGGTAGAACATCACCAAACCTGAAGCCGGTACGGTCCTGTTTGTCATTGGTTCCTTAAAGGCTACAATTCTGGAGTTTGCGAACTGTTTCTGCATGTACCAGGTTGGTTCTAGAATTTTCGGTGTGTCCTTCTGGAGAACCCTGTTTGTTACAGTGGCTAAGCGCTAACAGGGCGTTGCGTGCCGCATGTTGCCGAGTTTTTTCGCGCCAGCAGCGGGCAATGGCAGGGGTGGTCTTTACTTCCTGGTACAATGTTTTGGCTATTTCAGGTGCGCCCACCAAAATACTGCAAACCTTCCGAGCACCTGACATGTTTGTCACCAGCAATCAAGGGCGGAGAAACACAGAAAGTGCATCGCGTGCCGACCAAGCCGCCTGCGTGTTGAAACGCAAAGCGTGTTGTTGCAAACTAAGGGGCCCTCTTGCCTGCTGTCCAAAAGGAACGCTCCCTTCAGGTCTGCAGCCAAAGGGGCTGGCACGTCTTCTATTTCCACATTACTGCTTTCACAGTTCCGAAGACACAATTTGATAAGGTACCTTACAATTCTAAGCCACACCACCCCATTCCAATTATCCCCCAAAATGGATGCAACAACAATTACCATCGAAGCAGTCCACCCAAGCAAGGCTAAACTCAACTGTTACCATTCTCTCCCTTTGCCGACTGACAAACATAAAGCCCGTGGCTTCACGGCAAGCATTGAAGCATCCTCCTGATGGCACCGCGGGCCCCTCATCAGCCAACCCACCAAAGTGGTGCCCGCGAGCCAATTTTCCACAAGCTTCCAATTCACTTCCTCATTCTTTCAATGGGGGCCCACGCAGCAGCCCACGCAGCAGTTGTCATCACTTTCGGGAGGAAAGACCGGAAATCCTAGAACATTGGATGCTTGGAAAGAATGGGTTTTAACCGCAAAAGTGGCCTCATACAATACTTCCCCATTCTTTCTGGTTTTCCAATTTTCACACAAAACAGATGCAAAAGCGAAAAAAATAGCAGAAACACACTGACCTTTGATTGAAAGAACGATGCTGGGGGACAGAATGATGGGGTGGGGAAAGAAGGGAAATAGTGATGGTTGTGGGGAAAGAACGATGGTTGGGGAAAGAACGATGGCCCTGGGGAAAGAACGATGGGTTGTAGGGAAAGAACGATGCCCCTGAAAACAGAACGCTGCCAGTAAGATCGATTGCCTGCAGCGGCATGACTTTGGCAGGTCAGGGGAAGGGGTTGTCTAGTCTATTGGCCCTACCCCTAGCCCGCGGGACAACTTTCTACATGCGTCAGTGCTTGCTGCAGAAAAAAATCAAAAACTGGGCCGAAACCGGCTGGAAAGACCGATCATTGCACTGAGTGCGCATGTGACGAAAGAATGGGGAATCAACCCTTAGAACAATTACCAAACATGGGTTATGGGTTGGTCTGTTTTTACGGGACCCCCTCACAAAGGTGTTTTTTGTCTATTGACTTCTCTTTAAAAGCAGAAAAAAGAGGCACGCTCAAAAAGACACACGCATGCCCAGATCTTAGAGCTACAAAGCAAGAAGTAAGGGACCAAGCAACGGACGCACCAGTGATGTGAGCTTGTTTTGCCCCCAAAGCACGTGAGGCTGGACAAATCCATGCATATCCGAATCCGTGGCGCCTGCACCTGGGAACAACGACAAGATCTCTCCCAACTCTACGGTGTCAAAAAAAGGGGGGAACCCCAAAAAAAGGTGGGGTGCCTTTTCGTTGGTCTTGAACATCGCACCAGAAAGAGCACCCTCAAAAGCAAAACACCCCCAACTTTTACTGTATGCTACATGAATTCCTCCACCTCCAAGTGAACCATAGACTACCAACATGTCCAGGTCGATTGCATACTGCAAGGGCCTAAATCATTGGCGTTTTAAACCATATTTAGTCATGAGAACTATTGGGGATTTAAACAGTTCGCCGCTTATCTTGGTCAGTGGAGGTATCCAGAAATACTCTCAGAGGTTCCATATTTAGCCTACCCTAACATATAGAGGACAAAGGAACCCGTGCGAATGTTATATAACTGAGCCGTGGGGTCAGAACCATGCCTGCACCGTTCTGGGCAGGGCCCTGCATGCCGTCGAGGTCAACGTAGCCAATGGTCTCCGCGTTCTCAAAGGACTTGGACACCCTGAGACGCTTCGGTCCATAGCAGTTGCCAAAAGTATCCCCGCTCCAAAAGAGGATTGGGCAAAACAAAATGTTTATCCCGGCGTATGCCCTTGCACAAACTCCCGCGTGGCCGATTTGGGGGTGAAACTCACTGGGCAAAAGCTCTGCGGCTGCCAGGCAAACGTGAAGATAGGTTGGAGCCAATTGTTTTCTGAGGTTGCTTTCAAAAAAACAACAACCTGGGGGGTTGTCAAACTAGGGGCCCTGTTTTGGCGATAGGTTGGCAAATATCAGTACGTGAAATCACATCTTGTCTGAACAGGTGGTGGTGCGGGGTCCATCCCGTGGCCTTATTCAGAGGGCTTACTGAGCGCTGGGTCGCCAGAACTCTTGACAGATGCATGAAGGCTGATGATGCCTTGGACGCAGGACTCAAGGATTGTTTTTGGGCTTCAAACAGACCCGGGCGCAGGATCACTTGCAAGCATCAAAGGGTGCGACAACATAGCTTTCCACGCTCAAGTGGATCAAGATCCATCATTGCTTCATTTTTGTCGCACGCGGTAGAATAAGGGACCTTTCCAACTGTGTGCAAGGACGAGCTGTTCAGCAAATGCATCTCTGACCATGGGAGCTGTGCACCTTGACATACCTTGACCCTATTTTTGCCCTACCTGGTGTTTTTTTTGGGGGGTAAACTCGTTTCAAAGCAAACCCCCAACCAATTAAAAGAGCGGTGTTGCGTGATCAGCCAGTCTAATGGGGAGAATGCTTCAGTGATCTGGTGGAAACAAAAATCGTTGCAGAATTGAAAGCACTGATGATGTAAAGTGGTCCCTGACTGAGTGGCAGAATCTGTGGGAGTGTTGACCACAGTACCTATCGCAGGAACTCCACGCTAGCTGATGCTGCCAAAATGCAACTTGTACTATACCATCATACATTATGCGACCTTCTCAAAGAGCTTTACAATTGCAGATTTGTCTGCCGCTGCGGTGGTGAGGACTACATGGGGGTCCTCAAGCTCAAAGTGAGCTGTGCTCAAAATGCAGGCGCCAACATTCCCGAACGCGTGTTGCGGCGCTCTTTGCTGAAGCTCGTGGTAATGCAGCCAAGATGGGTCAAAATGATGCAACGAGGGCGGGCGGACATGTCTCTGGTTCCCAATTCTTTCGGAGCCGGGCTTCTGTTTAGGGTAGGCTACTGGAAGGCTTAGGTAGGTTTGGGGTGCGTTTAGGGTGGGTTCAGGGTGGGTTCAGGTTGGAGTAGTGTGGACTTGGGTAGGTTTAAACTGGTCTAAGGTGGTTTTGGGGTAGGAAAAAGGTAGGTTGTTGTGTTTAGGGTATCCGGGGAGGGGGAGGGGTGAAAGTGCTTGCAGGGGATTGGACAATCCAGCACGAAGAACAAATCCTTAAACAATATGGCGCCCCAACATACCTCTGCAAAAATGGGGAAATTGGAATTTGTTTCCGCCATTGGAGATTTGCCTCTCACTGCGTTCTATTTGGAGAAGGCACATCTTCAACCTACCAGAGTCTCAGTCAAAGCATTGTTAAGCCAAGGCTCCCTTCGTGATTCGCGGATGAAACAGCCTGTTCAAGTAATATTGCCAAAGCCAGTTGGGCCAACTTGATACGGCAACCGTTTTCTGCTCTTTGCCGTCTACCTTTCAACATAGTGGTTTGTTGATCCCAGGCCAAACAGTTAAAGCTAAACCTTTGGCGCGAATATGTCATACACCCCGGCCCCCTTTTGGAGTGGGTGTAAAATCCCGTCCAATCGGTGAGGGGCAACCCGCCCGGATGCGAAAGAAGATCCAGGGATCTTGCTGCAAACCCTCGAAATCTCAAAGTCTACTAGTCTACCACTGCCCTACCGTGTCCCAAAACCAGAACTGGTAGATCCCAAACACGGCTCCATTTACCTACTTAAGGGAACCAGCCTTTAAAATTCAAAAGGACCTTTGACACCTGTCGGGCAACCCGCTGGAGCCCGTGACCCGCATGAAGGCACCCTCCAGGTCCTGGAGCTTCTTGACATGCCGGCATCCATGAAAACAGCCAAGGGTAGTTAAGCCCAAATGGGCGCGTCGTTCTAAGACCCCGGTTCTGCTATTGACTTCACTTAGTAATGGGCACCTCAAAACAAAAAACGTATCCAAAAACCAACCCGTACAGTTGCGACCCTTGGTGCCAATGATCACATGAGTAGAAATTGAGACTGAGAGTTGGGTGAAAGTAGCTGACGGATTCAACCCGCCCATCTGATCATCTGAATGGGCGAAAACACCCATCCAAAAGTGATTTTGAAAGCAGCTCGCGTGGGGTCTACAAGGGCTATGTTAAATAAATCGGAGCAACTCACCTGTAGGGGGCTTCTAGTACACATACTGGTTTTGTCCCATGGCCCACTTCCGGAATACAGAAAGGGCAATTTTCCACATTCATTGCTATCAAAAGTGACCATGAATCGAATAGGGAACACCTTCCAGATGGTGGGTGCAAAGGGGTAATGTGCAGTATGTCCATGTACATCATACGTACCCAAGTGAGGGGCGGGGTTAACCTACCTGCCAAGGCGACTTCTCCCGTCAAATCACAATTCAAACCTATCCCAGTCGCCGCAATGAAGCCTTCAGTTTCCCAACGCAAATCCCAGTCGCACAGGGAGCCAAAGCGGCACCCGGCCTCACTTTGCGGCTTCCCCAACTTCGAGACAAAGATAACTATGTAAGCTGCACAAGTAAAGTGAGTCACACATTGTCGGTGGGTTTCCTTTTAAGCAAGCTGAGAAATGCTTTCACCCCCTTTGCAGGGCTTCAGGTTCAAATGAAAGGTGTGTGAACTTGCAAGCGCACCCTCTAAAGGAGACGCTGAAAAAATTGCTTCGCTCCAGCCCTCAAACCTTCCTGCCAGCCGATGGGAGAGGTCGGCCGACCGTGGGCGCAGCCGTAGATGTTGGCCACGATCAGCACGTGGCTCACGCCGGTCTGACAAGCCGGCTTGCTTTTGGAGTTCCCGTGGTTGGTTTGAATATGTGGTGTTGGGGTAAACTCGAAGAGCCCGGGAATCAGACCACCTGAAGAATGTTCACAAAGATCAAGTGGTAAACCCGGAAACAAAGCTCAGCGATGCTGAGCTGGTGACGAGGTTGGGGTTGCGGTTGAAATAGGAGTTGATTGGATGGTGTAAAAGAGGAAGTAATTGGTGAATGCAGAATCACGCAAACAGGTCCATGATTGATTAGCTCATTAGGATTCACAGAATTAGGAATCTCATCGGTACTAGGTCGCTCAACGTCCATGATCGGCATGACGCGGACCTGTGAGCCATGTTGTTGAGTAATCCCGTCAGTAGCAAGTGTCCTCCTTCGAACCAAGGGGGATGTTCGGGATCTTCGGGCCGGGTGATGGATCGTTGATCGCCAGCCAGCCTTTCTGCTTGCTGTCAGAGCCTTGCCATTCGAGGAGTGAGAGGCCTGCATCAACGGAAAAAGGGGTACTTCTGCACTGATCCACAGTGCGTTGCTTGCTTGAGACTCTCCAAAGTGAGGATACCTTGGCCTGCTTGATCCAGTAGTTCAAGCCAGCATCCTCCACTGTTGCAGTGTGCTCCTCAATTCGAGGAAGCACTGGATTCGGGATGCTTTCCGAGCTCGTCATGGATGATGCTGTGGTGCAAGTAGGCGAAGAAATAGCGGGCCACAACCTGCGACCGGCCACCAGCCACACCTATTTGCTGCACGTACCTGCGATTTGCGGTAGAACTTGAAGACTCCGGGAATCAGACCACGTCCTGAAGAATGGTTACAAAGACCAAGTGGTGGAGCCAAGAAACAAAGCTCAGTATTGCTGAGCTGGTGGCCAGGTTGGGGTTGTGGTTGAAACAGGAGCTGGTTGGATGGTGTAAAAGAGAAGTAGCTAGCGAATGCAGAAGCACGCAAACAGGCCCAAGAACAACCAGTCCGAAAGCAAGCACCTCCCAGAACCAGAGGTCGACCCCACCTAGCCCCCAACGGCCCGATGTTGAAGAACCTCCGTCGTCATATGGCGCCGGTCCTTTTGCATAGGCATGCTCGTCGAGAGCGTGTGTGCTTGAGCCAAAACGCCATAGGCGCATGGCTGTGAAGTTAAAGTGGTCTATCCCAAAACACAAAATGGAAGCCTGCTAAAGGGTCAATTTGCAAGAACACATTTGCATTCACCTTTAATGGGCCAGAAAAGTGAGGCTTAAAGCCTCCCAAAATGGGAGGTAGCTCTGCGGGGGTGTAATTGTGGATGGTCAAACCAAACGACTTTCATAGGTGTCTCCAATTTTGGGACGGCCAGTTGTCGGTTTTGCTGGTTCATGGGTGTCGGTTTTCAGCAGGCAATGTCATATCGTTTCTTGAAGGAAATATTCCATGGGTTCGTCTCAAGCGTTCCCACGGAAACCATCGGTTAGGATTGCACATGTTTTGTTTAGGGAACCATTTGGCAATTTTCTCCGGCGCGCATGCAAGCCACAGTCAACAAATCCTTGCCCAAGCGACATTGGAGTCATTGGGAGTTTGCTGCCCTTTCCAATAGTGTCTGTTGCTCAGAAGAACATATAAGTCAACACCACAACCCCCCCTTGACGCTTGCCGAAGACCGGTGTGTTTTCTGGGCTGAGAAAACCCTTTGCTTCCATGGACCGCCCACCCAAAGCACTGCACCCTGAACCAATACCTAGCGGGACATTGCCGCAAACAAATCAGGCGGCTTTCTTTGTGTAATGGGTAGTTTGAGGTTCAATTCCTGTCATCTCCCTTTGTCATCAATGGGTTTGCAAAGCCAGCGACTGCCAAAGTCTTCGCACCTTTCTGAGCTCGGCCAAGTTCATGAAGGCCCATTCATCATCGCCCTCCCCTTCGCCCGACCTGGGATTTCGCGGTCCGGGACCAGAAATTTGGTCAACGTCCAACCCTCGAGCGGGAATTCTAATCCATCCCTTTGGTCAAGGGCAAACATGAAACGCAGAACCATTGGCTGACCCAGGAGAACAAGTGGAGCACTGCTTGTTGGCCGCAATTGCTGGGCGAAACCTGGCTGAAATCCACCTGGCAACTTCTTTCGTGGGGAAATAAACCTTTGCTGAAACGTGAAAGGCGAGCAGCCCATCCACATAGCAGCCAAGGGACCGGTCATCTTCTGAGATCGCGTAAAAGTCTCTTCTCGACTGAGCGGAGAAGGAGGCGGAAACACGAAAAATGTCGATGTCGCGGGTTATGCTATCATGCTGGCCAAACTATTATAGAAAAACACAAAACAAGGAATCCGCAAGGAACCTTCCGCGGCGTGTCATAACTCGCAATGAGTTGCACCCCCAAAGCTCTAAGTTGGCAGTGCTTCTCAACAAACCATCCAGAAGATCTGAAGGCTGCATCCACGTGAACTGTCGAAACCCACAGCGATTCGCTGCCTCTGGTGTACCTCTGGAAAACTTGGTCAACTTTCAACCCTAAGACTAAGTATTGTACAGTTTTAGTCAGCCTAATCGTGGGCTAAAGTGCTTCAAATGCTTACCGCTGATCCAAACTATTCACCCTAGAGGAGCTTCTGGGGGCTGGCTTTTCATCTAGGTGAGCTCGTCTCGGAAAGCATGGAGGGGCATTTCTCCGCTTGAGCCATTGGAGCTGTGGAATCGCCGACCAAGCGAATCGATGTGTTTGGGACGTCATGCTCAAACACAGCCAACATATGGATTGGAGTGTTCGTTCAGGAACTTTAGTTGGTTCATTTTCCGCACAGAAGGGGATGTCATTTATCAAGTTGCCATGAGGACACTGGCGGTGCTCACCAAATCCAATGTCACGTGGGGGAAATCATTCACACCGATCGTGGCTTACATATGTTATGAGTAATCATGGTATCGTTTTGGTGTTTGACAAAAAGGATTGAAGTTGTCGTGGCTTCTTTGGAATATGGGTGTCTTTTTTGAGCGTGCCTCTTTTTGGTTGTTTTGAGGTGAGAAGGGAAAACTACCATTTTGGCGAGTACATTAGAAACTCTGTTTCTAGTGGACCCCACAAAAATGGTTGGTTTCCCTTTGGATTCCCTTCAAAACCACGAAAAGGGTACCCCTCCAAAAAAACACACGCAAATACAGAGTCGGCTAATCGAGCCACATGTGTGACTTCCCTTTGGCAGGTTTCATGTCCAGATCCGCTGGAAATATGGGTCTTCGCCCCCTGAAACACCTGCAACAACTAGGTCTAGCTGATTGGGGAGTGTGAATTTGCTTCTTTGTGTGTGCCTTAGGGCGATTCCCACCTTCCCAAAATGTGGCACACCCTCGTATTGGACGAATTGCCTCTCCAAATACTTGGAACAAGGGCCATGGGGGTGATTCCCCGTTTCCACGGCACTCGTCGTGTCCAAAACATGGGTTTGGGTGGGTTTCCGGAAAAAGAAATGGACTTTGTAAAAATAGGGAGAGTGTTTTCTATCTGATTGACTGGGAAGTCATTTTGACACAGGATCGACTGGTCCGAAAAATGGAACCCAGCTGAACTCAACTCCTTGTGGGCGGAAAATCACAATTTCTGTGGCACCCAAATCTTTGACTGCGTATGACTACTTTGTCCATTGAGGGGATGCCCGAGAAGAAACACATACGATTTCCAATAACCATGTCTTAAGTTCATTCACCCAATGCTGGTCAACCGTTGGGCAGGGTGGCCTTGTGGTTGAAATTCTGGTGGTCCACGTACCTGCCTCGGTGCTCGAACCGTTCGAGCGCTTGCCTGTGCGCCTTCACCAGGGTAACGTGGTTCGTTTGATCCCTTAGGGGCATAGTAACAACTCTCTCTCTCTCTCTCTCTCTCTCTGTGTCTCTCTCTCTCTCTCTCTCTCTGTGTCTCTCTCTCTCTCTCTCTGTGTGTCTCTCTCTCTCTCTCTCTGTGTCTCTCTCTCTCTCTCTCTGTGTCTCTCTCTCTCTCTCTGTGTCTCTCTCGCTGTGTGTCTCTCTCTCTCTCTGTGTCTCTCTCTGTGTGTGTGTCTCTCTCTGCGTGTGTCTCTCTCCGTGCGTGTCTCTTTCTGTGTGTGTGTCTCTCTCTGTGTGCGCCTGATTTTTCTATCTGTGTCTCTCCCTGTCTGTCTCTCTCTCTCTCTCTGTGTCTCTCTCTCTCTCTCTCTCTGTCTCTCTCTCTGTGTCTCTCCCTCTCTCTCTCTGTGTTTCTCTCTCTGTGTCTCTCTCTGCGTCTGTGTGTGTCTGTGTGTCTCTCTCTGTGTATCTCTCTCTGTGTATCTCTCTGTGTGTCTCTCTTTGTGTGTCTCTCTCTCTGTCTCTCTCTCCCTCTCTCTGTCTCTCTCTCTCTCTCTGTGTCTCTCTCTCCTTCTCTCTGTGTCTCTCCCTCTCTCTCTCTGTGTTTCTCTCTCTGTGTCTCTATCTGCGTCTGTGTGTGTGTCTGTGTGTCTCTCTCTGTGTATCTCTCTCTGTGTATCTCTCTGTGTGTCTCTCTCTTTGTGTGTCTCTCTCTCTGTCTCTCTCTCTCTGTCTCTGTGTCCCTCTCTCTCTGTGTCTCTCTCTCTCTCTCTCTCCCTGTGTGTCTCTCTTTAAAGGGAATCCAAAAGTGGGGTAAAGTAGATGGCACAACTCTCATCATATGGGTGAGCAAAGGCAATGAGTAGACCAAATGGGCAAATTGTGCCGTCTACGTCCACCAAACTGAAGAATGGGCCTGGATGACCTGTCGAATTGGTTCTAACACATGGGATCCCGGATGCCACGCATATGGTCCTTTGGTGCAAGCGACCGGAGCCTAGCTAATCTTTCTAAAGTATCTTTCACATAGTTTTGCATACTGGAAAAAGAGAGCGGGACGCTGTTTTAGGCCAAAACGTGAGTGTAGGCTGGGCGTTGGATTCATTGGGGTTCGTTGCCTACAAAGAAGCGGGGGGGGGGGCGCAGCCCCCCCCCCCATCTACAAAAACACGGGAGGTACGAAGCCACCAAAACTCCAAAATCCCAAGAAGTCGAAAGGCGCTGATTGCTGCAGCCGTTACTGGTGATGATACGGAAAGCCAAAGCCACGGAGGCCACAACAAGTAAAGCCAAAAAGCCAAAAGCCGAAAAGACCAGACTCCAAGAAGACAAGAAGCTAAGAAGCCAAGAAGGCTAAGAAGTTCCACGTTTGGAGTGGAAATTCGAGTTGACTTACGCCTGAAAAACTGTGTTTGCCTGTTAACTGATTTATAAAGAAATTCGGAAAGAACATCCTCTGTAAATTCAAATTTAGAATAGAATATACTCGAATCTAACATCAAATATAACATAGAAATTATTACTTGCTTATTTCCTTATAACATTTTATTTAAACTATAATTGAACCGTAAGTTCTACCAAGGAAGAAACGCTATCTAAATTCTAAGCTCAAGATACAATTTCCTGTAGGATTATGATTAAGTTGTTCTTTCTTGAGTCCCATTTAAGTCCTATTCAAACTCTGATTAATTTTTAGGGAGCGGCCGTTTGTGGAAATGTGAATTTAGTACTAACGCGCTACAAAACACTGTTTTAGTGTGTTTTCTGACCATGGTCGTGGGTCAGTTCAACACAAAACCGCCGAACAAAATGGTGGGGCCCCTGAATTATTTCTTTCTGAATTCTAGTTCATATGCTGTTGCAATAGTCTACTCAATTTCTAACTGAAATTAAACGGAACCAACTAAGGACAAACTCCAACACGAATTTCTATCTGAGGTTCCCTTTCCCTTTCCAATAGAATTGGTCTTACAAAACAGCAAACATTTAAACAAACTGTTGCTTCAACAATTTTGGGACCTCTGAATTTTACTTGATATTGTTATCAAGTTCTAATTAATTTATGATATATATATATACATATACATATATGTATATATATTTGAATAGGACATGCTACAGCCATAATTGTTGTTACTTTTACAGTACGATTAAGATAATGGTTATTCAATTTAAAAATAAATGTCTCACGGGATTTCATTTCCAATAGAATTGTGTTCACAAATAAGTAACCATTCAAACACAACTTATTCAACACATTTTGGGATCTATGAGTTCGTTCAGTATGAGTTCTGCTCAATAAATTTACCAAGTGTCACTTAATTTCTAACTAAAACTAAGAATAATTTACTAAGGCCAAATAATCCAATCGGAGGAAGCCATCTCTAGCTTACTGTATTAGGGCTTGGACGTGAACTACGCAAGTCCACTTGAACACAAACGCTCTCGCAAACAGACCGGAAACAGGCAAATACACAAAAGGCAAACACCCCGGAAGACAGGCATGCCGCCCGCAAGTCAGGACAGCTGACATAGTATTGTTTTTGTTTCGTTGGTTTCCAAGGTTTTCTATACGTTTCCAAAAAAACAAGCAAACACACACACACTGAGAAACACACACACACACACGCAAAACAAATGTTGCCCCTAAGGCAGCTGACATAGTCTGTATTTTGTTTGTTTAGTTCTTGTTCGAGTTGCTTGGCTTCTCTGACCACACCACAGCACAACATGAAAAATATGTGCACTCTCAGGGTGTCCTGTGTTGCTTTATTTGCCTCGAAAAAACATGCAAGTGAGGAACCCCCAAAAAAATAAGGGGCAGCCCCTGTTTGGCGGGAAGATTCCAAGAAGGGTAGCTCTTTCTTGGTTCCAATGGCAGAAAAGGAAATCTACCATTCAAAAGGTCGGACACTTTTCGGCGTTTCAGCCGAATTTGTTGCCGCGAGATTCAGCAAGCAACAAAACCACTGGGTTCCATACATATCCTACTGGGTTCCACACATATGAAAAAGCTAGTCGTTTGGGGTGCGGCTAGCCCACACACTGATTTCTGCATTTGCCATCACATTCTAGCCTGTTGGAAGCCAGCAATCTTCGCTGACTTTCCCAATCTACTGCACTGGGCTCGATAGTCTTGCTGTTACGCTCTTGCGTAGCATGACACACCATACTGCAAACTCTACAACTCCAAAAAGCTTGAAATAAGGGATCCCCCCGAAAAGTCTTCATGGCAATTACCTCTAAGCGTGGTCGCCACAAAAAAAGCTGGCAACCTTGCCCAACAGTACACCAAAAACAAGATTGTCAGATTCTGCACCATATTTAGTCCACCTGAAAAAAACAGCCTTCTAGGGAACCCCCACAATGGTAGATGCCTTTCGGTTCCCCCTTTCAACCACAAAAACGGGGCACCCTCAAAAGAACAAATAGCCATCGGTCCAAGCTCTAAACACCATCCAACAAGAAATGTCTCTTTAGGTGCTTCCCCTTTAAACCCCAAAGCAAAGGCCGCAAACCAGAGTTTAACATCACAAGGCGGACCTCAAATACCATGGCCTCGCGGCCAGGGTGCATTGGCTGGGGATGGCTCCGCCAAGGCCTTTGGTGTTGCCGTCAGGGCAGCTGAGCAAAACCATGCCAATATCCACATCCACCTCCCCGCCGCGGCACCTGAGGCTCGCCATTGGTAGCATGCATATAGAAACAACCAGCCTCTGGTGTTTGTTTCAAGGGAAAACCCAAAAGGGAGGTTGTGGCAAAAACAACGGGTGTTTGTGTGCTTGCTTGCTTGCTTGCTTGCTTGCTTGCTTGCTTGCTTGCTTGCTTGCTTGCTGGCTGGCTGGCTGGCTGGCTGGCTGGCTGGCTGGCTGGCTGGCTGGCTGGCTGGCTGGCTGGCTGGCAAGCTTGCTTGCTCGTTCGTTTGGTTGGTCTGTCTGCTGTTTGTTTGCTTGTTTGCTTGTTCGGTCTCTCGGTGTCTGGCTGTTTGTCTGTCTGTCTGTCTGGCTGTCTGTCTGTCTGTCTGTCTGTCTGTCTGTCTGTCTGGCTGTCTGTCTGTCTGTCTGTCTCGATGGTTGCTTGTCCTTGTTTTATGATCGTGTTTGTGTTTCTGCCGCTTGCGTTTCTGTGTTTGTCCTTTTCTCTGTGTTTGTGTGTTTTTCTCTCTCTGTGTGTGTGTGTGTGCTTTTCTCTCTGTGTGTGGGGGCTTTTCTCTCTCTGTGTTTTTCTCTCTCTGTGTGTGTGTGTGTTTTTGTTTTTCTCTCTCTCTCTCTCTCTCTGTCTGTGGGTGTGTGTGTGTGTCTTTGCGCGGGTACGTATGTCTGTGATTTTTGAGGGCATGTCAGATTGGCTAGCGTGTGCGCTGATTGTTGGCCACCTCGCTCCAGCAGCGCGTGTCCTGTTCATTTACTTTGACTTGCAAGGAAGGACCCTCAAGCTATCCAGTCTCCAAATAGGAAACCCCCTTTTAACAAAAACAAATGGCAGATTGGGAACCTGCATCCTCAAACTACGCGCAAAGTTCAGATATTGCCCAAAAAGTGCCGCGCGATGTCCTTGTCTTAAGGGTACAATGTAAACCTTGTAGCGGCCGACCCTTTCGAGGTTTGGATCTCCACTGGAAGGCTTACCTGAAGGCGCTCCTTGAGAGGTCCCAAGAGCAAAACTTAAAGTCCCTCAAGCGTCGACCACATGCCACTTCCCCCAAAAAACAACAAGCGCGGAACTTGTCGCACTCATCCACGCCGATGCCCACATATGCCACGTCTTGCAAGAAGGGCTCGCAATGTCCGGCTCGGGGCACCTGAGCGGTGGTTGGGTGGAATGACCGAGGACCGAAGGCCCGAAGAGGTCTAAATAAAGACTGAGCGCTGCAAAAAATCGACAGGACATAATGATGTTGAAACTGCGGGTGGTGGTGGAAAGGATCCGTGCAGACAGCAGCCAACTGACAGTGACTATGTCATTGATGATACCAAGGCAGTGACGCTGAGGCGGCTGAGGAAAATCCTTTGAAGTTTGATTCCCGCACCCTTGATTTCAAGAATGGTTGCGGTTTCGCTCTAATGTGGGAAACTGCAAAAATGGTTGAAAAATGGCCCACCCTCCCCAAACAAAAGGCCGGTTTGGAAAATGGATACCCCCAAAAAGCTCAGCTTCCCTTAAGGAACAGGGGAAGTCCCGGCTCGGGCACGCCGAAGCACTGAGAGATGCCAATTGATGTGCCCCGTGACGTGGCCCTTGGCCTCGGCTCCTGGCACAGGCAAGGAAGGGAATGACCCGGAGCCACGTATGGTTTCTCAAAACCTAAAACCTGCTGATGCCCCACTCATGTCGCTCCTGAAAAACCTCCCCACCTCAATTTGGCTGCCTAAAAATGCCTCAAGAGGCCGTCAATTGCATCGTGCAACCCTCCCAACCCCTCTCCACCCGACCTCCCGAAACGCCGAGGGGTTGCAATCTAAGGGGAAATTAAGGGATACAGCCTTGGCGGTTTTCACTGACTTGGGTTTCCACTTGCTTGGATTGCGTTGAACCTACAACTTTTGGGTCTCCACACACCCCCTGGACCCCCCGCCGTCCCGGACTTCTCCTCGGAAGAGGAAGCCTGAGCCCTCCCTTCCGCCAGTGCCAGGCTTGTTGAGAAACAGGTCCTTGTAGCCGCTGCTGGTGTAAAGGCGCTCCTCAGCAACCGAGCCGAACCAGCCTTCAAGAACCAAAAGCAACATGGCTGAATCTCTACTCTAGTGGTATCTGAGAATCACTGGGCACTTGACTGAAATCCCATGCTCACCAATTAACAAATAACTAGAGGCTGAGGGCTTCATAGAAAACCAAAGGCAAACTTTCGTGGAATCCACGTGCGTTTGTTCATTGTGCTCCACGTGGAAGCAGCAACATCAGGTTCCAGTTTGGCTTTTCCCTTCGGGAAATGACCAATTGCTGACAATTTGGCGCCCAGCCCAAAGTCCATTGAAACTCTGGCCCATTGCCCCCCCCAAATACTCGCGACTCACATAGATTCAAAGTCTGACCCACGTGGTTTCTAGCCTAGGGACCCAACCCAGGCATCCCACCTTGAAACCCAACATGCGGCTCGAACTTGCGCGAGCAGCCTTGCCTTGGAGTAGCAAACCCAAAATCAATTTTGGAGTACTGGGAACCTCATTGATTTTCAACCAAACAGAAGCACGTCTATGGTAACTCGCTCTCCTCGCGGCGCAACACATGCCAAGAGAGCCGTGCCTGCACATAGACAACATCGCCAGATTCCGCTTCATAGAGTGCAATCAAAGGACTTGGAGCCCGAAAAATCTCATAAGCCAAAACCCCCTCCGTCCAAGGATCCACCAGGCAGTTGAACTCCCCAGCGTCGTGCGCCGGCGGCACGTCTTCGCGCCTAGGAGGGTCTGCGCGGCTATGAGCACCGCAGGCTCGATTATCGCAGGCAGTGCCTGGCCCGATCATACACCATTCGACGAATCGTCGACAACGTTCTCACACCCGACTTGGTGGGTCTCCGAAGGGGTCTGCTTGTGCTTTGTCTGGGTATGTCTTTCCAGAATATGTTTGAGTGTGTCGGTTCGGGATGTTTCGGGTGTGTCTTTGTTGGGTATGTCAGTATGTCTTTTTGGATATGTGTTGCAAACAGCTTTTTCCCGAAAGCATCGCGAAGGGTTCTTCCGTGCGGAGCCCTTGGACAAGTTGCACAGAGCCAAGTTGCACAGAGCCAAGTTACATAGAGCCAAGTTACATAGAGCCAAGTTACATAGAGCCAAGTTACATAGAGCCAAGTTACATAGAGCCAAGTTACATAGAGCCAAGTTACATAGAGCCAAGTTACATAGAGCCAAGTTACATAGAGCCAAGTTACATAGAGCCAAGTTACATAGAGCCAAGTTACATAGAGCCAAGTTACATAGAGCCAAGTTACATAGAGCCAAGTTACATAGAGCCAAGTTACATAGAGCCAAGTTACATAGAGCCAAGTTACATAGAGCCAAGTTACATAGAGCCAAGTTACATAGAGCCAAGTTACATAGAGCCAAGTTACATAGAGCCAAGTTACATAGAGCCAAGTTACATAGAGCCAAGTTACCAGGTTAGGTAGAGCTTGCGTAGAGCTTCGGCGTAAGCAGCTATGTAAGTTAGTTTAGGTTTCTAAGGCGCCGGGGTGGGAGTTTGATCGTCGCTCGGGATTGCGACCCTCTGCGGAGATTCGCGTGGTCGAGGTCAAAAAACTGAGGACGTTTTACGATTTCTGCGGTGCGCGCGCGACCCTCTGCGGAGATTCGCGTGGTCGAGGTTAAAAAACTGAGGACGTTTTACGATTTCTGCGGTGCGCGCGCGACCCTCTGCGGAGATTCGCGTGGTCGAGGTCAAAAAACTGAGGACCCCAGGGCTTCCAATGCATGTGTTATACGTGGGCGACCAGTGCGAGGGTGTGTGAAGGGGGCGAGGCTGGCTCAAAGAGACGACTCTGGAATCCGGGGTCGACTGAATTTGCCCAAATGATTTGACAATTGCAAACCAACATGATGCAAACGCTTAAAGTTCAAAAGAGCTTGGGCGAGACAATGTGTCCGGCGTTGATGGCAGTGGTTTGCTATGAATCGGGCCAGATGGAGGAACAAACGCCCGGCCCTTGGATTACCCCTGCTAAAAGGACACCTTTTTGCCTCACGCCGGCACAGGTCAGCGTGAATCTTCTGGCGCACAGCCTCAGCGAGTGGTGTGCGAGCATGTGTGAGTGGCATTCGTTGGCGTGCGCTGGGGTAGACTCGCTTCATGCTGGCACTGCTGTGGCCAGATCAAGGGGTGAGGGTGTGTGCAACCGGTCCATGGCGCTCCAAAAGGCTCCCTCGTTTAAGTATGCAGAGAGGCAGTGCCGGCAAGAGATATGTGCGAAGCTGTATGTGCTCCTGGCAAGATTGGAATTGATTTTTTCAATCCCTTCATGTGTTCCGGCAGGGCACATTTGAAAACAATTGAAGACCCGCCAGGAGTGGATGACATCCATTGGCATCTTGGAAGCGGACAATCTGGCAAAGCTCAGGTCTAAGCAAAAGCAAGCTGCCTCGGGCAAGAAGCAGGCCATTTTCAGGGCTCGCATGCGTACTGCAATTCAGCTAGAGTTGGAAACCAATATGCGCATGTGCTACTGTACTGCTTGGAAACCAGTGGCGCAGGGATTGTCCGCAGATCGACCCCGGCTACAACTGATAGTTGACTCTGCGGATGAGAAGCTTGAGGCGCAGGTGCCCTTGCTCTACCAATCACGCTGACAAACTGTTGCAGCTGAAATTGATTTTCATGAAACCATATCGACTTAATCTCCCAGCTTGGGCACGCTTCTGCACAAGTTGGTCCTTGGAATTGTTCTTGATGAATTCCCGGTTAAGGTCCGCTGCAACTTTGACCGCCTGAAGAAATGGTTTGCGGCTTTTGGCCGAGACACGCCGACAGGCAAGGAGGTGGAGGCCCGGATGCCAGATCGACTTAAGCGGTTGATGGCTACATCGCACTTACACCAGACTTTGTGGCTTGATTTCAATGGCCCAGTCCCAGAATATTCGGCAGTGAGCGGATCAGATTTTCAAAGCAGCAAGCGACTGGATTGGCCCGCCAAAGACGGCTTGAAGGTCGCCCATATTGTGAAGAGGGGAACTCATCCAATATATAGTTTTCAAGATGATGTCTAGATCCGGATCCTCAAGCTTGGTTATATTGAATTGTGCACCGTATTCCATGCCTTCAATTTACAGAGACTTCCGATCTATTGCACCCTCCATCCCTCGCCAAAAATCAAAGCTTGTTCTAATTCAATTAAATTTGTTTGTTGCCATGATTCCGGCGTCACTAAAGCGCCCATCTCCCATCCTGACCAGGCGGCCATCATGGAAGCTCATGATCGTCACGAGTTCCTGACAGGTGTGCTTCTGAAGGACAGAAAGGCGTGGTGGCTGGGACAACTACTTTGTTGGACATGGTTGCAAGTGACAACAGGCCGAAGCCTATGAGATGGCCTTGGAGTTCCGGAGTCTGATTTCGGACTTCCTCATAACCGAACGCCGCAGTGAGGGAACGAGGCCTTCCTCAACATATCGTTTGCACATCGATGCACAATTCAAGCTTCAAGTTTAATCATGCGTGCATCGAATTCCCGATCTTGATGTCAAAAAAAGGTTCAATCTTGCTACGTTGCAGGATGGGCCCATACTTTGCTGAAATCAGCGAGCTCAAGACCATCATCCGCCGTGTCTCAGGTCCAAGGAAAAAGGCTGGGTGTCGCTGGATGTTCACGGAACTCTTTCATTAATGGATAGCGCTTAATCTTACATATTGCGTGGAGTGCGCTCCTGGGAATCAATTCCTGAACACGTTTTGCCATCGCATTCTCGATCCTCACTCTTGAAAACACTCAGCCTCTAAACACACACCAACTTCTTGCCCTGATGGAGTGGCTGGGAACTGTTTTCTAGGTTGAAACATCATGCAACATACAAAATTGAATTCAAACAATAACATAACATGTTGCTCCAGCTCCAGCTTCGTTGAGCAACAGTCTTGTCCCACGACGCTCCCTGGACAGGACGCGCAGAAGAAGAACGCAAAAGAAGGCAGCAAGGCAGCAGCAGAAAGAGCAGCAGCCAATGGACAGGAGGCTGAAGAGCCAGAGGAGAAGAGCGATGAGGAGGCTGAAGAGGAGGCTGAGGAGACTGATGAGGAGGCTGAGGAGGAGAAGCCAGAAGAGGAGGTGAAGGCTGAAGAAAACGCGGCTCACGACGAGGCTGTTGAGGAGGAGGTGGAAGAGGATGTTATTTGTGAGAAGGCTGAAGAGGAGGCTGGCGAGGAGGCCGGTGAGGAGGTTGAAGAGGAGACTGATGAGGAGGCTGGTGAGGAGGTTGCAGAGGAGGCAGAAGAGAAGGCTGTGACTGAAGAGGAGGCTGCTGAGGAAACTCCGGAGGAGGCTGGTGAGAAGAGTGATGAGGAGGCGGATGAGAAGGAGCCTGAAGAGGAGGCGGAAGAGGAGGCTGAAGAGGAGGCGGAAGAGGAGGCTGAAGAGGAAGCTGAAGAGGACGTTGAAGAAGAGGCGGATGAGAAGAGCAAAAAGGAGACCGACGAGGAGGCTGAAGAGGAAGCTGAAGAGGAGGTTGAAAAAGAGGCTGATGAGAAGAGTAAAGAGGAGGCTGAAAAGGAAGCTGAAGAGGAGGTCGAAGAAGAGGCGGATGAGAAGAGCAAAAAAGAGGAGGCTGAAGAGGAGGCTGAGGAGGTAGTTGAAGAAGCGGCTGATGAGAAGAGTAAAGAGGAGGCTGACCAGGAGGCTGAAGCCGCAGTTGAGGAGCAGACTGATCATGATGCAGAGGCTGAAGGATCAGGGGAGGGCGACGACAGCGACGAAGAGAAGGCGGAAGAGAAGGCTGATGAGGAGTCTGAAGCCAACGAGGAGGAGGATGACAATCAGGAAGGTGGTTGTGAAGCGGTTGGGGGAGAAGCAGAGATGGCTGCTTGGGAAGAGGAGGCTGAAGAAAAGGCTGAGGACGTTGAAGTTGAAGACGGTGAGGAGGCTGAAGAGGACGAGGAGGCTGAAGAAAAGGCTGGTGAGAGGGTTGAAGAGGAGGCTGACGATGGAGCCGACGAGGAAGGTGAAGAGGAGGCCGAAGAGAAAGCTGATGAGATGTTTCAAGAGGAGGCCAACGAGGAGGCCCGTGAGGAGGCTGCAGAGAAGAGAGATGAGGAGGAGAAAGATGAAGAAGGGAAGGCTGAAGAAGAGAAGGCGGGCGAGGGGGCTGGAGAGGCTGTTCAGGAGACTGAAAAGCAGGGCGAGGAGCAGAACCAAGATGCTAGAGCAAGCAAGGCAGCTTCACAAGCAGCGGTTGCAACGCAAGACCGAGACCAAGCAAAGCCAAGCAAGAAGGCGCAGGTTTGGGTGGGTTGGGAGCATCTCACAATTGCGCCAAAACTAAAAATTGCAACGATTGCGCTTCAAAAGGCTCATTGTGAGTTTTCAACTCCAAGGCCGGCTATGGATGGAACGCACGGTTTGCTGGAAATTTGGCCGGGATGGGCCAAGTACAGAAGAGCCAAGCGATGTTTTTTCAAGCCAGCCAACCTACCAACGCCCGAAGACTTGCGCCAAAGAATTGCCGCCGCTAGCTTACGCAGCCAAGATGAGTTGCCAGTGTGGCAGGGTTGGGCCAAGTTCAAAACAAGCTGGGAGAAGCGAAGCAATATTCAAAGCAAGGAAAAAACAAGTGTACACACGCTAGTGGCGTTGAAGTTGGAATCAATGTTGACAGCTAAGCCTCCAGTTCTCACTTCTCTAGACTTCAGAGTTGCAACTAATTGAGCCCCTGGCAGGATCGCCCCGCTGAAAGCGTCATCGACCCTTCGCAAATGGAGACACAAATGGTTGCAACTGTCGACGTGCCCAACTCTACTGGCAGCCCATGCG